ATCATAAACCTATTTCGGAAGAGAGATGTAAAAATGAAATGAGAAAAGGCTAACCAAAGGGTAAGAAAACACCGAAAAAGGGTAAGGAAAAGCCACATGGTAGAAAGGAAAATGACAAAAATAACAGCACAAACATCACAGAAGCGGGAATAGCAGAGAATTCGTCCCAAAACAACGAGCTCTATGAAAATGATTTGTCCTCTATTGATCCCGCAATACCAATGACAATTAATCTTCTTTCTTTGAATCCTAAAATAAGGATAAGAAAAAGAATAAGGCATGTTATGGCAAAAGCAAGACGAGAGATGAAATCTCTGCAAGACAGGAATATAATGGTTGCAAGCAGATGTTAAACGGTACTAGAGGTTGTTCAAGAGAGAGCAGGAGCAGTAGTTCTCTTGCTGATGCATCGTGTGTGGTGACTGGGTTCCAAGTCTGGCAGCAGTTCTCTTGCTAGTTGGGCTGCCATCGTACCAGCATCAGTCATACCCAATACCAGATGACGACTCTTTATGCCTAATCCGGCATGGTGTATTACGTGTCAGTCAAAGAACTGAGGGATGTTTGTTGCCCTGTTTCGCTTTTATGGGTACCTTCAACACCCAACATTCCACGTTCCATATTAAAAGTCTGCATGTTGTTCTCAGCGTCTGCTCAGAAAGACATGTTCAGGCATGTCTGTCTCATGGATATGAAGTCTGTGTTCAGTGTTCAGTGTCTGAATCCCAAAACGTCAAGTGGAACGTTTCGAGACATGTTATTCTATCAATGTGTCTTTTGTTGAGCAAATAAATAACTCCTACTGGATGTTATTGTGATCGGAAGTTGCAACATGAGATTTGCAATTTTATTTTTAACTTAGCATATAATGTAGCAACCTCCTAGAAATGTATCTGGAGAAGGTTTGTTCATCTAGAATGTCAAATAAACACAATAACAAGGAAACAGTTTCTCAAAAGCACAAAAGCAATTGGTAACCAATGGCAAGGGGCACCCCGAGGTAGAAGAGGCCTGTTTTGGGTTCTGTGTTATATGGTCGGAGTGAAGAAGGAAATTGCAATGTGTTGTGTCAGGATAAGAAATAATTTCGATTACCGAAAAACAAGAATTGCATGTCTATAGTCATTCATTTCCAGCTTGAGAAGTAGAGGTCATCAAAAAGAGTTTGGTACCTTAGTAATTTCATAATAAATTTGTTTCCAGCCATTTTACACATCAGGTGTAATGTTTGCCACTTTCATATCTGATTGATAGAAGCAGAGCAGGGCAATGTACTTTAAGCTATCTCAAAATAATCATGAAGAATGAAGCTGATCTTAAACAGCTGGGTTTTGAGTACACCATGGGTACGGATTACACATCCAATTACATGCTTAAAGCAGGCCCCCATACACAACAATACCCATCTAATCTTTACCCACCTCTTCCATTACAATGTCATCAATAGAAACAATTCTCATCCAACCCCTACCTACCCACTCCCTGCCCCAAACCCTCTTAAGCCATACACAATCTACCTGACCCTGTCCATCCAATACCAACCCACACCCCACTCATCCAAAAACTCATGGCACTCACTCACTCACTAGTGAAACACCGCACTCAGCAATATTCCAGCTATATGACAGCAGTCTGTTAACGATCATGTCTAGACCATACAATCCAGTGACTGACATCATGAGCACTGATCCATGCAATTGGGATATGATGACATGCATCAACCAAGTCAGGGAGCCTGACCACCCGATCCCTTTAGTCACCTCTTACGATAAGTATGGGATGGTGAGGACCAATCGTAACCCGGATCTTCGCGTCGCAGGGGACCCACGACACACACAAGAGACATCCATTACATCAAGACTAGCAACAACACATGGTGTTGGATGAGGGTCACCACACATTATGCATCTAAATAGTAACACAGTGATATGCAAATTAAGAAACAGCGACTATACTGAAATTTTCATCTAAACAATACTGAAAAATACATCTTAATATTTTAGTTTCAGTTACTCAATTTTGAAACAAAAAATATCCATAAAACTGAAGTACACTGACTGAAAAATCTTAGGAAGCAGCCAAATGATTTCATGTAGGGGCAGGAATTTTGTAAAAAATATTAATCAAGATAGTTTTACTGAAAAACAATTACACATGCCTCGCTCTGTATGAAAAAAGCAATGTGATGTTTTCTTGCAGATAAGTGTCAAAATAATAGTTAGTTATAACATTTTGTTTAAAAAATAAATAATTGAACACCTGTTAATGATGGAAAAAATAGTTCAGCTCCTGAATGTCAAACACAAAAAAACTGCTGATCTAAAACTAAAATCCCCCACTGAAAATCAAAGGTCGCTTCCTCATTAGAACATAAATTATCTTTTGGTGATGAGATTCGGTTATGTACAGTGAAATATACTGTCAATGTGGAAAAACACACACATTTCTGTAATGTGTGCACATACAGTTACATCCAAATAAGTCAGTGTCAACGTTTCTACAAGATGATATGTCATATCCATGAGGCTAAAAACATAATAGTCTTGGTTCTCAGGTACCGCCCGTATCCTCATAACCTACACCGCACATTTTGTTTTCATTTTTATTTTTAAAAAAAATAAAATTATCTTTAAATATTCTGCGCCTCGAACACACGACCCCGGCAGTAAAAAGCTACAATACTTAAGAACATAAGTTCCCCTAAATTACAGTAAACAAAATTTTGTTACCTACCAGTTTGAACAACCAAAAAGAAAAAAGAAAACACCGCCCACCCGCACAATATTTTCATAAGCCATTGCCTGAAAACCAATTCATTATTTTTTTAAACCTTATCTACATTATAAACACAAACTCTGAACTACTGAACACATGGCAGATTACAAAGCAGACCATATTTACATACACAAACACATGAATCTTCATGACAGCAATGACCTATGAACATGGCTGATGGTATACATTCTGTACAAAACAAAAAGGGACTTGTCTAATATTGTAAGTTAATTTCCTAATTAAAAGCACAAAATTCCCCAAAACATGTCTTAGAAAAAGTGATCTCTCCTAAACATGACAAGTGGGACTGTTGGTGTAATGAAACACAGGTCTACCAATGAAAACCAACAGAGAGCAACGAAATTATGGAATATTTACACTCTTAAATAGAAAAAGCCACACAAATTACAAACAAGACACAATCCCCTTGAAGTGTGCATAGTAATGACTAAAACCTTCCACATTTTCAATGGTTGGTTGGTTGGTTTGTTGTTTAACGCCGCACTCTGCAATATTCCAGCTATATGACAGCGGTCTGTAAATAATCGAGTCTGGAACAGACAATCCAGTGATTGATATCATGAGCATCGATCCACGCAATTGGGATCGATGACATGCATCAACCAAGTCAGCGAGCCTGACCACCCGGCGGGTTCTGATCTACTTCGGTTGCTCTTTGCTGGGGTTCTTTGCTTGCCATGAAATACCGTATTCGACGTCATAAGCGTCCAGGGCACTCTCAAAATTAGAAATATGGGGCTCTTATTAGAACATCATTTTGATGGAAAAAAAACAGAGCTGAAACATAAATTTCGTGGTTTATGCTGACAGCCTGAAATGTTAATGTACGACAGATATATTTTTCCAGAATTTAATTGCCCATTATTAAGGGTGCATATAACACACAAGTACGTTTTATAAGCGAATAAATAAGTCTTGCTTACATCGATCAATCGAAAGAGGTGCTTATTGGGATTGTTCACTAGCCAATATATTAGCAAATATTGCCGTGTGCGCTTATTAGAGCGGAGCGCGTATTACGTCGAATACGGTAATATGAAAGAGAACATTTTTTTAAAGATAGCATTGGTTATTTCCACTGTCCTACTGGTATAGAGGGAATGTCCTCAAAATCCTACTTTTGTTAAGTATTTGTGATATACAGAACAAATAAATCAAATATTAAAAAAAGTGTATCTAATCTCAAAAGAAACCCATAAATATATCATAACATCTCATCCTAGCCTTTAAAACTTCCGATCTCATTAAAATCAGATCGAAGTTCTCGCTACTGCTAAACAAAGATCTGCGGACATCCCATTACGGGTCACGTCAGAACGACCTTTCGCGAATTTTGACTGACCAATGAAATGACTGACAAGAAATCGACCTTAGCCAATCAGAAGGCAGCTTTCTTGAGCTTTGCGACACTAGTTTAAAACTAGGCGACTACTCTTCGAAACATATTTTGACGTATTCTTGATTAAAAAAATTAAAACTGATAAGAAGAACACTCTGAAATGGCTTATAGATGGCCTAGATTGTATGGATATAATCATAAAACCTGTAACTGATGTTTGGAATACCCCGTGTTAAATATTTCGTGGTTGCATGATTAGAAAACACATTCCGACTGTCACTTTCATGATCTGGTAAGCGATGCTATGATTGGTTTGATGAAAGGTCGTTCTGACGTGACCCTTAATGGGATGTCCTCAGATCTTTGTTTAGCGGTAGCGAGAACAAAGATCTGATGTTAATGAGATTGTTAAACTCCCATCTTCCACTAATCTTATTTGTGGTTGTGTCAAACTGATTTTTAAACGGAGGTTTTGAGTAAATGTATTAAAATTTTCATTATGGTCATCTAAATCCTTGTTGCCCCTCTACTCACATTATCAGTAAAAAAAAAACACAGGATAAAATAATAATTTTGAAACATTGGTCAGAACATGTTAACGTCCTTGAAAGATGAAACACTTCTAAACACAACTAGATAATTAGGTAGGGATTTCAATTGACTCTCACATCCAATCTTTCCGAGGCAAGGGAGCTAACTAACTATAAAAGTCCAGTTTCCACCCTTGCTGACCTCGGCTGGAATTTCCAGGCTCGATTGTAGTGCCACCAGTGGCACCCTGTCAAGACGATCTGATCAATAATCAAGATCTATATTGTAATAAAACAGGTCTTACATCTCGAAGAGCATCAGATCACTTGAGCACCTTGATTAAAAACATGAAAAGATTTACAAAATATGTGTTGACACCCAGTTGGTGGTGCACATGCTTTGCAAATCCTGCAGTTCACCCAAATCTGCACGTTGAAATCCATGTTGTTCACAAACCGGGAGTCTAGTTAATGATGCGATTTTGATTGGACTATGCATAGACTTGTTAGTCCAGACAAACTGTAACTCTGGAATTCCAGGCAAGTTTGACAAGGGTGCAAACTGGACGTTTGTAGTCAGTTAACTCCCTTGCCTCGGGAAGATGCTTACAGACTAGGGTTGACTGTGCTGTGACCTTGACCTATGTATCACCCAGCTGGTGTTACATAGGTGGAATATCATCTCAGTATTCACTTGTTCTGCTCCGTATTCAATGAGTATTATGAAGATTTGTTCCCGGCCACCATTGTTTCAGTCCACAGAGATAGGGAATTAGTTTTCTGAGACAAAAGCTTTGGATGTACTGCTAAATAATGCCAGGCAAATGAACTACGATTCAAGCAATACATGCAACATATATAGCACCTCATTGAGCAAACATGAAATCACAAAAAATAATTCTAAAAAATCCCGAAACAAGCTAATAGTATAATGAATGAAGCAGTGTTAATCAATACTAGCACATCAGTTACCATGGTTACTGGGACTAATATACATCTTTTTCAGAACATAAAACAGGACTATTTAGTATCCATATTTGAAACAAAATCGGACACTACGAAAAAGATGACATTGGGTTACTGTGTGTTTTTAGTTTAGTGTATAACGGAGTGATACAATTTTCAATTTGTTTTTCATTCAAAACATAAGAAATGATTTTGTTCAGGTCTTTTTAACTGATGCATCAGTTATTTTCAGCTTTGTATATAATCAGTTTAGTCTTATATTTCATACAAATAAAAAATCTCACCTGAGTGTCCTTTGATCATGTCGATATCAAATGTAAAAAAATTAAAAGTCAAAGGCTTGCCCAGGAGCCCATAATCATAGGATTCTGGCATGCCCAAGGGATGCAACTCTGCACCAAATTGCGTCACCTTAGACGACTGGGCCACTGGTGCCTCCATTGTCATAATGAAGTATCTAGAAGCATAAACTAGATAAAGTGAAATGGAAGAGACAGTCCCCACATGGAAATATTCCATGTGCTTAATACAATGAACAGAGAATCCAGACCCAACACTTCCAACATAATGCTTGTCGGACAATGTACAAACATGTTAGGGTTCTAGGACTCTGTTCTAGCGGGACCAAACTGATATCAAATGGATCTATCTACAATGACCATGTCTGTACAAGTCGGGCTAATGCTACACACTCATCCTCATTGAGAAACAGCACTTTTATCTCAAAGTCAAGTCTTTTTCACATCAATTTGAGTTGGTTAATTGTTAAAACTGCTTCTTCACCCTCTGGGGTAGAACACTATCCTGCGCCATCTTGAAGAAGGACAATAGACCATATTTCTTCCCCTTTTTGCGGAAATAGTTACTCACAACATCACTTTCATCTGGAACAAAGCAGAACGTTTTCATCATGAGCCAGGTAGGAGAGTTTGGGTTAACACTTCGTCATACATCAGGTCAGTTTATGCGAGAGATTTGATTGGTTGGTTGGTTTGTTGTTTAACGCCACACTCAGCAATATTCCAGCTATATGACGGCGGTCTGTAAATAATCAAGTCTGGACCAGACAATCCAGTGATTAATATCACGAGCAGCGATCCACGCAATTGGGATCGATGACATTCATCAACCAAGTCAGCGAGCCTGACCACCCGATCCCATTTGTCGCCTTTTACGACAAGCATATGTGAGAGAAGAGCCCAAGGTCATTGTCGGTCACAGTATTTTACATATAATACTTGGTGAGGTGAGGTTGAGGTGAGGTGAGGTTGAGGTGAGGTTGAGGTGAGGTTGAGGTGGGGTGAGGTGAGGTGAGGTGAGGTGAGGTGAGGTGAGGTTTAACGTCACATTCAACATCATTGCACTTATGTTGCACCATGTATGCAGGTATGTGTGTGGCTGGTTTTTTCCTAGTCTGGGCTTCCACAAGAAATATAGTGCTAGCCAACTGAGATACAATGCGACAGTTTAACATGGACACCCCACTCAGATACAGAATACTGACTGAGCCAGATAGTCATTGTTTTAACCTGTTAAAGCGCCAGGAAGGGTAAAAACAAGGACCATCTATTAATGTTTTCTGGTATGAAAAGGGCAGGGGGCCGAGCCACCGACCTTCCGCTCTCCATGCAGGCGCTCTATCCACTATACATGTCATACCTGTGTTCCTTGTCTGTGTCTACAACTACTGGTCATCTGTCTACTAACCTGTGTTCCTTGTCTGTGTCTACAACTACTGGTCATCTGTCTACTAACCTGTGTTCCTTGTCTGTGTCTACAACTACTGGTCATCTGTCTACTAACCTGTGTTCCTTGTCTGTGTCTACAACTACTGGTCATCTGTCTACTAACCTGTGTTCCTTGTCTGTGTCTACAACTACTGGTCATCTTTCTACTAACCTGTGATCCTTGTCTGTGTCTACAACTAGGGGTCATCTGTCTACTAACCTGTGTTCCTTGTCTGTGTCTACAACTACTGGTCATCTGTCTAGTAACCTGTGTTTCTTATCTGTGTCTACAACTACTGGTCATCTGTCTACTAACCTATGTTCCTTGTCTGTGTCTACAACTACTGGTCATCTTTCTACTAACCTGTGATCCTTGTCTGTGTCTACAACTAGGGGTCATCTGTCTACTAACCTGTGTTCCTTGCCTGTGTCTACAACTACTGGTCATCTGTCTACTAACCCCTGTTCCTTGTCTGTGTCTACAACTACTGGTCATCTGTCTACTAACCTGTGTTTCTTGTCTGTGTCTACAACTAATGGTCATCTGTCTATTAACCCGTGTTCCTTGGCTGTGTCTACAGCTACTGGTTATCTGTCAACTAACCTGTGTCTACAACTAGTGGTCATCTGTCAACTAACCTGTGTCTACAACTAATGGTCATCTGTCTCCTAACCTGTGTCCACAACTAGTGGTCATCTGTCTACTAACCTGTGTCTACAACTAGTGGTCATCTGTCTACTAACCTGTGTCTACAACTAGTGGTCATCTGTCTACTAACCTGTGTCCACAACTAGTGGTCATCTGTCTCCTAACCTGTGTCCACAACTAGTGGTCATCTGTCTCCTAACCTGTGTCAACAACTAGTGGTCATCTGTCTACTAACCTGTGTCAACAACTAGTGGTCATCTGTCTACTAACCTGTGTTTCCTGGCTGTGTCTACAACTAGTGGTCATCTGTCTACTAACCTGTGTCCACAACTAGTGGTCATCTGTCTTCTAACCTGTGTCCACAACTAGTGGTCATCTGTTTCCTAACCTGTGTCAACAACTAGTGGTCATCTGTCCACTAACCTGTGTCTACAACTAATGGACATCTGTCTACGAACCTGCATTCCTTGGCTGTGTCTCCGACACAGTTGGCAACACATTTTCATTGGCTGACAGCGACACGAAGAACGCGAACGGCACCAGCCACAGACATATGGTGAAGAAAGCAAGGACCTGGAGGAGACAATGTACTGAGGTTATTGAAACATCGGTGGGAGAAAGTCACATCCCCTGACCCAGTTTGTAAGTTTGGTTGGTTGTCAATTAACACTCAGCAATATTCCAGCTATATGACGGTGGTCTGTAAATAATCGAGTCAGGACCAGACAATCCAGTGATTGACATCATGAGCATCGATCCAAGCAATTGGGATCGATGACATACATCAACCAAGTCAGCGAGCCTGACCACCCGATCCCGTTAGTCGCCTTTTACGACAAGCATAGTTGCCTTTTATGGCACAGTTTGTAAGGATGTCAGACTATGTATACTGCATTGCAATCCTCCAAGTTAAACATTCTCTGGAACCTACTTTGAAATATGTAGAAACTGGCTGTTAGCATGGTTAGACAACATAAATTGTAGTTCAGAGCTCAAAATTACTAATGCCGGCATGCCCACAGCACACATAAAATAGGAAATACCACGCTAAAATTTAATGTAAAGTGCCTTGTGGGCACTGACATTTTTATTCAAAGTATTTACATTTATTTCATGTCTTGACAAAATTAAACTGTGAAATGAGCTTTCCCCATAAGTTGCATGTTCCACTATTGTTAAACGACTCCCGGCAGAATTCAGACTGTATCTGACAGACATTTGACATGATGTTCAAGATTGCAAGAAATACATTTGAATGTACTCGCCAATCAATCCTGTTAGTTGTGCCTCTTTTGACAAACATGGGTTGCTGAAGACCCATATTATCCTAGATCAACACAGGGGTTTTAAATAAGTCAGCTGTTCAGGGCTGTCAGTTTGACCTTAAGCCTCCAAGGTGACAGGACCTGTGAAGATCCGGGGTAGAATAGATCTTCAGCAACCTATGCTTGCCGTAAAAGGCGACTAACGGGATTGGGTGGTCAGGCTTGCTGACTTGGTTGGTGCATGTCATCGATCCAAATTGCGTGGATCGATGCTCATGATATTAATCAATGGATTGTCTGGTCCAGACTCGATTATTTAGAGACCACCATCATATAGCTGGAATATTGCTGAGTGCGGCGTTACACAACAAACCAACCAAATCCAAGGTGACAGAATAGACAGAACTCACCTCTGAGAAGGGGTACCAAACTTCAGAAAAGTGAGAAAATGACAGATAGTGATTTAATAACATCAGTCCTGAAACAGACAAAAGCATCCTTCAATCATCGACACATAACAACTGGAAATATACAGCTGTCAATCAACAACTATAACTGGAAATATACAGCTGTCACTCAACACCCAATAACTGGAAATATACAGCTGTCAATTAACACCCAATAACTGGAAATATACAGCTGTCAATTAACACCCAATAACTGGAAATATACAGCTGTCAATTAACACCCAATAACTGGAAATATACAGCTGTCAATCAACAACTATAACTGGAAATATACAACTGTCAATTAACACCCAATAACTGGAAATATACAGCTGTCAATTAACACCCAATAACTGGAAATATACAGCTGTCAATTAACACCCAATAACTGGAAATATACAGCTGTCAATCAACAACTATAACTGGAAATATACAGCTGTCAATTAACACCCAATAACTGGAAATATACAGCTGTCACTCAACACCTAAAACAACTGGAAATATACAACTGTCAATTAACACCCAATAACTGGAAATATACAGCTGTCAATTAACATCCAATAACTGGAAATATACAGCTGTCAATCAACAACTATAACTGGAAATATACAACTGTCAATTAACACCCAATAACTGGAAATATACAGCTGTCAATTAACACCCAATAACTGGAAATATACAGCTGTCAATTAACACCCAATAACTGGAAATATACAGCTGTCAATCAACAACTATAACTGGAAATATACAGCTGTCAATTAACACCCAATAACTGGAAATATACAGCTGTCAATTAACACCCAATAACTGGAAATATACAGCTGTCACTCAACACCTAAAACAACTGGAAATATACAACTGTCAATTAACACCCTAAAACTGGAAATATGCAGCTGTCAATTAACATCCAATAACTGGAAATATACAGCTGTCACTCAACACCTAAAACAACTGGAAATATACAACTGTCAATTAACACCCTAAAACTGGAAATATGCAGCTGTCAATTAACATCCAATAACTGGAAATATACAGCTGTCAAGCAACACCCAATAACTGGAAATATACAGCTGTTAATTAACACCCCATAACTGGAAATATACATAAATCAACACATAGTAACCGGAAATATACAGCTGTCAATCAACACCCTAAAACCCGAAACATACAGCTGTAAGTCAACACATAAGAACGGGAAATATATAGCTGTCAATAAACACCCTATAAGTATAACTGGATATATACATCTGATTATCAACACGTAAGAACTGGAAATATACAGCTGTCAATCAACACATAAGGGAAATATACAGCTGTCAATCAACACCCAATTACCCGAAAAATACAGCTGTCAATTAACATGTAATAACTGGGAATATACAGCTGTTAATCAACACATAAGAACTCGAAATGTAATAAATAATTGTTCACAAACATATTTTGTAGGAAAAAAACAACAAAACTTGAGTTTCATATTTTATCCCAATTAACAATATTTTGGGAACAACTTGAATATGGTTTGTCATGCTCTTACGATGCTTACATCAACTGATAAAATACATAATGGTATTATTGTGTTACATTTCAGAGGCTTTTTGTTGCCCTTACATCAACAAAGATTCTATATTTACATGACACATTTCATGTCTCAAACCAAGTTGGGTAATCAGTAATAAAATATAACCAGTGCCTTAAAATCACTGACCAGAGAAATTTAATAATTTAATAAACATGGGATTCCACAGTATAATTCAAGGATATATCTAGCCCTGCTCAGATGCCAATGCTTGGCCCCAATGACAGTAAAAATCCCAATTTGAATAAAAGTTATACAATTACTCAAACTTTAGGTGGTGAGGTGAAATTGGGTTTAAAGTTGCGTCCAAGATTATTGCACTTATATGAGTCATTTTCAAAGGATGTCACTATTTCTGTCCGAACCCATTACAAAATTTAAAAAAAATATATTGACTTTGCAATTTGTACAGATTATCACCTGCAAAGTAATGCATCTAGTAAAATGGTTATTTTCAATCATTGTGTCATATTATGTGTTTTTGATGCGTTTTAAATGGGTAGAAAGTGCATTTTTGGCTGTCCCAGTACATTTAGCTTCAAATTTGAGAAACTGTCATTTTATAAATATTGGCATATATATAATATTACTGTGGTTATCTTATAAAAACAAGATTCATTTAGGAATTTCAGTGTGTAATTTCAATCTAACTGATATAATTCCTGAATTATGATTATATATAACACCGTCCTTAGATTTTGTGTCTTTCCTGTAACACTTAATAAAACTTTGGAATAATCAATGATCCCCAATGCAAGGATATCAGTACTTTCTGTCATGTCTAGTACTATTTCCTATACAATAGGAGTGTGATGTGCCATGTGCACCAGGAGACAAATAAGCACCAAAAGTTAACCAAAAAGGTAAGGAAATGATGAGTATTTTCATTTCATGTCTTTCCCATAACGCTATGATTCAATGGAACAGATGCAAAATAGTTATTTCAAGATCCAAGATTATGTGCCAATTCATGAACAGAAAATTGTGTGAACATTCAGCTTTATGAAGGGACCAATAATTAGTCAGTATAATTTTTTATCTAATGATTTGTCTTACCTGTAACAGTCTTTCCTGTAACACTAAATTTTGTTACAGCTAAGACAGATTTTGTTATGGTAATGACTTTCTTCACTTAATAAGCTATAAAGTAAGAAAACTATTACTTTCTGTTCTTTTTCAACATTCCAACTGAATATTTTAATTCAGCAGTTTGAAAGACAAAGTTGTATCTTACTATTTTGAGTAACATTGTCAGAACATATGGTTTTTATAAGAAATGTGTTACAGTAAAGACATATTTTGTTATTGTAATGACATTTTGCAATTGAAAAGTTATAAAGAAGCAAAGTAAATTACTCTGTTCTTTTTCAATATTCTAATTAATTATTTCAATCAAGCAGTTTGTAGGATAAACTTGCGCTTCATCATTTTATGCAAAATTATTGAAACACCTAATTGTTATAAGAAATGGGTTACGGCAAAGACAGTTTTGCTTCAGTAATGACATTCTACATTTCCATAAGACAATCAGAATCAAAGTAACTACTCTCTGTTATGTTTGATGATATATTGTACTAAAGGGATCAATGAGATTTTAGTTACTTGTTCCTAAGCTTGCTAAAATAAGTGTTTATGATTTCGGAGTTAATATGGTACCATGGTTATAGAAAAGACAAACTTTACATTTAATATAGAATCATGGCAGTGATCATGAAGTACCTAATAGCTTATGGGTATTTTCTATTTTAAAAGGTCAAACAAGTTTTAGAATACGAGTTTTGGAGAAAAACATTTCACTGCACTAAAATTCAACTCTCCACGCTTCTTTATTTTCTGAAAAGGTCTTTGTTGGCAAAGACAAACACTCAAGTATGACAATGTATAGATTTCATTACATCATCAAAATAATTTGAAATGCACTAATGCTGATTTCATGAAGGTTTACTGAATAGCAATGTTTGCTTGACTGGAATACAAAGCAACTCCAAAGTGGAATTTCAGAGTGGAACTGTACAACTAAATTAACCATGGCAGTGACAAATGGTGAGCTGTATCCTTGTACTATGTTATCAAATGCTAACTGCTCACCATCATATGGCAGTGTACTTGCTTTTGGGACAATTGACAGAGCAGACGAAATGACAGTGAAGGTAATCCCTGAACTTGTTGCCAATGAAGCCAAAGATCTTGATGGAAATTTCCAGTCTCAAGGCATAAAGGAAGGATGTCAGTGTAAAGAGACATAACTTGCCACGTCATTATGCTCAGTATTCTGACATATATGTTCCAGGAACTTGTCTCGCAGACAACATAGTCCAAAGCATATTTCGACTCAAAACCCTCAAAGTGAAGAGGGACAAGTCTTTTATGGGAATCTGGCAAATTCACACTTGGCCAATGTTTTGAACAGACCACCATACACAATCTACCCCAAACGTGGTTAGTGAAGGAGAGAAGGTGAAGGCTGAAGATGCTGTTAGAGATAGAGAGAAGGTGAAGATGAAGAGGCTAGTGATGGGGAAAAGGTGAAGGCTGAAGACGAGGAAGCTAGTAATGGAGAGAAGGTGAAGGCTGAAGATGAGGCTAGTGATGGAGAGAAGGTGAAGGCTGAAGATGAGGCTAGTGAACGAAAGAAGGTGAAGGCTGAAGATGAGGCTAGTGATGGAGAGAAGGTGAAGGCTGAAGATGAGGCTAGTGATGGAGAGAAGGTGAAGGCTGAAGATGAGGCTAGTGAACGAAAGAAGGTGAAGGCTGAAGATGAGGCTAGTGATGGAGAGAAGGTGAAGGCTGAAGATGAGGCTAGTGATGGAGAGAAGGTGAAGGCTGAAGATGAGGCTAGTGATGGAGAGAAGGTGAAGGCTGAAGATGAGGCTAGTGAACGAAAGAAGGTGAAGGCTGAAGATGAGGCTAGTGATGGAGAGAAGGTGAAGGCTGAAGATGAGGCTAGTGATGGAGAGAAGGTGAAGGCTGAAGATGAGGCTAGTGATGGAGAGAAGGTGAAGGCTGAAGATGAGGCTAGTGAACGAAAGAAGGTGAAGGCTGAAGATGAGGCTAGTGATGGAGAGAAGGTGAAGGCTGAAGCTGAGGAAACTATAGTGAACGAAAGAAGGTGAAGGCTGAAGATGAGGCTAGTGATGGAGAGAAGGTGAAGGCTGAAGATGAGGCTAGTAATGGAGAGAAGGTGAAGGCTGAAGATGAGGCTAGTGATGGAGAGAAGGTGAAGGCTGAAGCTGAGGAAACTATAGTGAACGAAAGAAGGTGAAGGCTGAAGATGAGGCTAGTGATGGAGAGAAGGTGAAGGCTGAAGCTGAGGAAACTATAGTGAACGAAAGAAGGTGAAGGCTGAAGATGAGGCTAGTGATGGAGAGAAGGTGAAGGCTGAAGATGAGGAGGCTAGTGATATAGAGAAGGTGAAGGCTGAAGCTGAGGAAACTATAGTGAACGAAAGAAGGTGAAGGCTGAAGATGAGGCTAGTGATGGAGAGAAGGTGAAGGCTGAAGATGAGGAAACTATAGTGAACGAAAGAAGGTGAAGGCTGAAGATGAGGCTAGTGAAGGAGAAAAGGTGAAGGCTGAAGATGAGGAAACTATAGTGAACGAAAGAAGGTGAAGGCTGAAGATGAGGAGGCTAGTGAAGGAGAAAAGGTGAAGGCTGAATATGAGGTTAGTGATGGAGAGAAGGTGAAGGCTGAAGATGAGGAAACTATAGTGAACGAAAGAAGGTGAAGGCTGAAGATGAGGAGGCTAGTCATGGAGAGAAAGTGTAGGTTGAAGATGAGGAGGCTAGTGAAGGAAAGAAGGTGAAGGCTGAAGATGAGGAGGCTAGTGATGGAGAGAAGGTGAAGGCTGAAGATGAGGAGGCTAGTGATGGAGAGAAGGTGAAGGCTGAAGATGAGGAGGCTAGTGAAGGAGAGAAGGTGAAGGCTGAAGATGAGGAGGCTAGTGATGGAGAGAAGGTGAAGGCTGAAGATGAGGAGGCTAGTCATGGAGAGAAAGTGTAGGTTGAAGATGAGGAGGCTAGTGAAGGAAAGAAGGTGAAGGCTGAAGATGAGGAGGCTAGTGATGGAGAGAAGGTGAAGGCTGAAGATGAGGAGGCTAGTGAAGGAGAGAAGGTGAAGGCTGAAGATGAGGAGGCTAGTGAAGGAGAGAAGGTGAAGGCTGAAGATGAGGAGGCTAGTGAAGGAAAGAAGGTGAAGGCTGAAGATGAGGAGGCTAGTGATGGAGAGAAGGTGAAGGCTGAAGATGAGGAGGCTAGTGAAGGAGAGAAGGTGAAGGCTGAAGATGAGGAGGCTAGTGATGGAGACAATCATCCCAAAGTTACAGAAGACTCCAGAATCATCTCATTGTGAGGTTGACAATAATATTTGGTCTACAGTTAAAAGCCACCATGAAGGGGTATAATGTCTTGGGAAGACAGCTATAATCTTTCAACTTTCTTCATAGATGGCTTGATGTTTCAAGTGTTGCATTCCAGGTTGTAGTTTAGATTCTTACTTGCAGTTGAAAGTTGTGTTCTAATTGTAGGTCATGTGTTTTCTGACATTTTCTGAATTGTTCATTCTACAAGTTGACCAAGTCTTTATTGTCTCAAGTATACCACAATTCTTTTACCAAATACTTTCAGTGTTTCACAATATTAGTAAAATCTATACTCAACCTAAAAAACTTTGGATTTGATTGTTGATCATAGAAACCATAAAAAGACATGAAAACTATTCTCTAAATGTCTTTCATGTAACAAAATGTTGTCTTCACCATAACTGTCTTCTATCACATCAATCTGGAGATTTCACAATGAGATGGAAATATAACTATAACTACATCTAGTGGTACCCCTGTTTGGTAAACCTTTGTTTACTTATGATAGTGAACTAACTAGGCTGACCAAAACTTTGTTTCACATTGTCAGTACTGTAACGTCTTAGGTCTTTCCTGTAACAGTTATAATGTAGGTCATAGGTAACATTCTTCATATTTATCATTTAAAAATATAAATATAACAAACATGTGCATTGTTATTCAAAGTAACACATTTGCTATTACAGTAAAAATGCAGAAACTGCTTTGTGATCTAAAATGTCATTGTATGGTAATTTGTTCTGTCATGTAACAAACCTTTGTCCTTACTGTAACGGATTTTAGAAATTTTCCTTTAAAAAGTTGGAATAAATTTATCAATATAACTGAAAAAGATAATGACTGGTATTACTTTTGCAAGCATTATTATGTACATGAGAAACATTTAAGATAATCTTTACCACTCTTTGCATACTGATGATATGAATTTGCAATGTCTTTTCTGTAACAAATATAGTCAATCCTGTAACATGCATGTCTTTCCTATAACGCACTCATTTAAAAAATATATATTTCCTAATATGTCTTTAGTTTCCGCAATGAGACATAAGTTAATCACAGTTTATCTTTGTTCATCAAATAAAAAACCTCCAAGAAATCTTGAAAATTTAGAAATCATAATATTTATGTTGAAGGGGTAACAGTATTTCATAGAATTGACACTGAGTACATATTGGTCATTAAGAGACTAAATAAATGCCCTTCATCCTCACTTCAAGTTTAATATACAAAAATATGAAGAAATAAATATGTTTGGTATGTGCTTTTTGCATTTTCATGAATTTCAAACCAAAATAATTCACACAAACATTGTTATTGGAAAGACAAGCCAAGTTTCAGTTGCCATGGTAACTGGTTATTCCTCTTTCTAAAAAGCATCATTAAGACTTCCATTTGATGTTACTGACAGCCTTAGATATTTGTTACTCCATTTAAACCAAAAAAAGATATTATATCAACCATTGGATTTTGTAATTTTGGAAACTCAAAAAGTGACATCTTTTGAAAATGACTCATATAGCGACGTGCATGCATGTATGTATGTGTGACTGATGCCGATTTATAGTGCTAGCCCACTGAGCATGCTGAGATACCATGCCGCAGTTTAACATGAATACCCCACTCAGACACAGTATACTGACTCCGAGGCGACCAGTCCTTGTTTTAGCCCCTCAATGCCGAGCACCAGACAGGGCAACAACAAGCACCATCTTTTAACGTCTTTTGGTATGACGCGACCGGGGATCGAATCCCGGACCTTACGCTCTCCGGGCGGACGCTCTACCCTATAGACCACGGAGACGGTCTCCTCAAACTTTATGAAAATAAGAACATTAAAACACGTCCAGTTTTGAACATCACATTTTTTTCACAATTTTCCTGACAAGGGCACTTCCTTCAGCATCATAAATAAATCCCTGAAAAGGAATGGCTATATTGAGGTGTAACAGCTTCTTGGTTCCACCTACCTATGCCGCTGATTAGAGGTACTGAAGACATCTCGAAGTATGGGAAGCTTTGAAGCAAGAAGAAGTAGGATAGATTGGCTCCAAGCCCACACACTATGACGGAGAGTGGGAACTCTTCAAAGAAGAAGATGCAGATGTACACAACTGTCGTTAACTGAAACACAGAGGGTATTATGTTTATCATTATGTTTGTATAATGTTTGTCCCCAGCCTAAATGCACAGAATTTTTGTGATAGTTTCAGGGTTTTTCCCTGACCTAAACAAGAGTTTGCCACTAACGTGGCTATATCCCCTGCCCCTGTTGCAGAATTTATGACATAATTAAATCTAAACAAACCCCAACCTTTTTTAACCGAGGTGGAACTTGTCATAGAAATTGTAAAAAAAAGAAGAGTTTGGAACCTAAGTCCATCTTGTTGCCATGGAAACGTAAAAATTAAAAATTTCTAAAATTTCTAAATAGCAAAAGGCACCAGTTCAGCATGTACCTGAGTTATGCTCTGGAAATGAAACGTGACAGACGGAGCCCGTTTCTATATCCCCCGCCAACACAATCACACTCTTGATCCATTCCCACAACAAAAGTTTGTGAGTACTGATATATACTCTGCCCATGAATATTTTCCCACATATGTGGTTCTGACAAGCATGGTTTAACTGGGACCAAAACGGTACCGAAATCCCATCAGGGTTCTCGCTAACAATACCCAGGCTTTCTCAACTGAAATGTTTACTCACAGCAATGAGGACGCGGATGATCCTGGCCGTTGTGACTGTGTACTCCTCCACCAGTTCAGCCAGGTAGTACAAGCCTGCAGCTGTCAGAATAGACACAGGAAGTGTTATAGTGCACTCAAAACCACATCAGGCTTAGAAAATCTGGGCCAACATCAGTAAACATATTTCAAATCTGAGTGGGTCAAACTAGCTTGTTGCAAATATGAATGCCAATCTCCTTTTTTGATCCTACTGAAAGACAGAACAAAATTTAAGTCTTTGAAAGGCATTTAGAAGTGATACACAGAAGGACGAGAATTTATGGATGTCAACTTCTTTATTATGAGGACACAACGTTTCGGAGTATATGCTTAGTAAGCATTGCTTACTCCTTCATCAGGTAAATGCCAGAGACCCCTTCACCTGATGAAGGGGTAAGCATATACTCCGAATCGTTGTGTTCCTCATAATAGTGAGTGTGAGTGAGTGAGTTGGGTTTAACGCCGCTTTTAAAAGTATTACAGTTATATCACTGCATGTCAGGTTAATGTGGGAGGAAAGCCCAAAGTGATGCAGGTCTCAGACGTTTACCACTTCGGTGAAACCCACGAGCACGGGTATGGTACTGACAAACCTAAAAACATAATTGGGGAGAACCGGGATTCGAACCCACAATCATAGGTTTCTGGCGTGCCCAGGGGACGCAACTCTGCGAATCGCGGCGCCTTAGACGACTGGGCCACCAGTGCCCCTGTCCCTTATGACAAAGAAGTTGACATCCATAAAGAACAAAATTTGTAACATACATGTATATACAAGATGTGACACATGAGAGGCAGTATGTCATAGTCTGTCTCAAAGTCCCTGAACCATATTATTTTCCCTTCAGCCCAGCCCTTAGTGCAGTGCTCTGCAAGGAAACTGAACAAGTGGGGGACAGGGATCCCTTCAGCATAATAACATGGGGTCATTATTAAAAAGTATGGGGCCACACTCTGAGAGATCATAAAAAAACAGTAGTAAATCTGAAATGCATGTTATTGCAGACTCCTCATCTACAGGTAGCGCTAGCTATACATGGAATGTTTCCCATGGCTTCTTTCTCAGATGTACCGTCATGTATTGCCGTAACAACATCCGATGTCAAATATTATCTAACTGCTTGTTTGTGATCACTGTTAGCACGGCAAAATTAATAATTTAGCTTTGTCATTGACTTAAGATTCCACATGATTTATGCAAAGCTTTCACTGTAAGATGCGCCTTGCAAAACTTTCTCTGTTTCACCATGTTCACTAACGTTACCCGTGGATGGCGATTCTGCGGTCATTCGAAACAGAAACATTTTGGGCATTAATCAGAAGATGGTTTAAGCTGTGTTCACGACGAAAAGAAAACTAAAATATATCTATCTCTGAACATTTTTTCAACTGTTTCAGTGTCTGCTCTTGGATTTTGCTGTTAGGCTTTGGTTTATTAGTCACAGTAAAGAACCAATGAAAATCATCCATATGTCTACTATATTTGCACAAATGTGTAAGCATGAGTCTCATTGGTCCATTTGGGACTTTCAGCCAATGAAAGAGGCTGATAGCAAAATGAGACACGAAAAAGAGGAAGTTTACATTCAATAATTGTAACAGCTGTGTGAGACGTAAAATGTTTTAGAGACAGTCAGTGGCCCCCATAATTATAGTTATAGTTAAAGTGTTTGAGTTGGGTTTAACACCGCTTTTAACATTATTCCAGTTATATCACGACGTTTACCACTTTGGTGAAACCCATGAGTATGGGTATGGTGCTGACAAACCTAGAAACTTAATCAGCGAACCGGGATTCGAACCCACAATCATTATTCATAGGTTTCTGGTGTGCCCAAGGGTGCAACTCTGCACAGCGAATCACAGCACCTTAGACGACTAGGCCACCTGTGTCCCCTCCATAATTATATAAAATAAACCTAGCTACATGAACGTGCCCAATGTCCCACTGAGCGTAAATATTATGCACCAATCAAAAAACATACTTTGTACCAAAACGTGACCAGAAGGTGAAGATACAGAGCTCCAGATAAGCTGCGTATCTGCGTGAAATACGCATCAGAAATGCAGAAATACGCAGTAAAATATAATCCAAGCGTATCAAATACGCAACGAACATTACAGATACGCTACAAAAATAAAATTTGTGCGTATCTTCAAATTATTGTGAAGTAACCCTGCGTATTCGATTAGCAAATCAGCAACTTATTTTGAAATTATAAACGGGCATTCCGTCAACCTTGCCAAACTCCACGATGACAGTTACGTCCTGATCATTTGCCATCACACTTTCGTGTGGAAGTATCGTGGTATTTTTGAGTCCTATAAAGCTCGCGAACCCACACGACACCAGTTTGCAGGGACTAGATGAATAGTGTTTTTAAATATTTAACTTAAATACCCACATGTGTAAAAACTAGTGGGTAACAGAAATTTGAATACGCAGATAGAATTACTGATACCCAATGATTTTAAAATGCATGGGTAAAATACCCACAACACCAAAAGCTTATCTGGAGCTCTGAGATAGTGAAAGTGGAAGCAACATGATGCATGTCTAATGCATACACTGTCAAGGTCATACTCACTCAAGAGGTTGAAAGCATTTGACATGGTTAATCCATACATATTAGGGCTGGGACGGGTAATTCGTTTGTTTGTTGTTTAACGCCACACTCAGCAATATTCCAGCTGTATGACGGCGGGATGTAAATAATCGAGTCTGGACCAGACATCATGAGCATCGATCCACGCAACTGGGATCGATGACATGCATCAACCAAGACAGCGAGCATGACCACCCGATCCCATTAGTCGCCTTTTACGGAAAGCATGGGTTGCTGAAGACCTTTTCTACCCTGGATCTTCACGGGTCCGGGTAACTCGGGTCAAGTGGGTACTGAGCATGTGGAGTAGGACCTATATACCCATAGTACTACACGAACCCGTGGTTAGTCACATGATTGTATTGTTTAACGGCAATAATCATCTAGAACTCCTTAGTTACACTATAAGTGACAAATGTTCAAATTTCTTTCTGACTATGCACACATTCCTTCTGACGTTATATGTCTGCATAAAGATAAAACTTCGGTCAACTTCAGTGTATGCATGACCAGATCGTTTTATACGTGTATCTAAATTTATTTTGACAGGAGTACGGTCAAATGTTTCCCAATTGGACATTTTGTACCTATATCTCATTAGACCTACAGAGGGTACGGAAGTAAGGTCGGGTAATAGGGGGTGGGGTATCTGGGTAATATATTTGGACTCATCCCAGCCCCAATACATATCATTGATTAATAACCAAATAACAAAGGTTTCAGTTGCACTTTTAACCACAAAGCATTGGCCATGTTTAGTTTTCAGACATCAATGTACATTTTGTAACTTTATTTCAAACAACTAAACATATGGAATCAGCAATGATGCAAATGGACACTAGGCCCAGCAAGAATGTCAAATGCTAAAGGTATCCAGAGAGCTAGTAGAATTTCAGGCTTTGTACTTGTAGGGGTGTGTCAGAATTTATGTCCTATTTGGGCCAGCAAATGTTCAAGCTGACAATGACATGCAAAGTTCCTGTAGAATATACCAAATATATATTTATGTCGAAATAATGCACACAGTATTTCAATATTAGGTATGTAAATTTTGTAAAAATACATGTATAATTTCAAGCGACAGAAACTAACAGTTCTGTCCACTAGTCCTTATAATGATAACATATAACAAAACCCATAAAAAGGCAAAATTTCTACTAGTCCTTATGATACCTTAACTATTGTGCAATTTGGTAAGGACTATAGTACTAGTTCCAATTTCAAACGCTCCTATTACAATACACAATAGGCAGAGTGGACGCGATAGACTTTACTCCATCCGTACATGTTCTGATGAGTATCACAGATAAGAAGGCTTGTTGGTCAGTGCATGGGAATGTCAAACTTCCATACGTTTGCAAATCTATTATATTTCATAGAGTCTCAAGCATATGCATTATGAAAAAGGCTGCTACTGCAGTGCTGATGGTATACAGTCACCGAGCAGCTCTATTGTGTTACTGAGTCAGGCGAAGGTGGAAAAAAAGGAAATATTTGGAATGCCTTATAACTTACCAATAGACAATGTTACCACGAATATTTGAATAACGAGAGCTACCCAGCTCATTACAAACATGAACCACATGTTGTTAGTTGATGGTTTCGCTGTGAACAGGTCGTGAAACGCAGAAAATCAAGATGATGTCGCTACTGATGACACGTTCTGGAAGGGTCAGCCATGACACGCACACCTTTTTGACTAGAGTGACCTCCCTTTAAAAGTGTTTTCCATGCGACTGGTGTATATGTATATCTCTGACAGTGTCGACATTTAATGATGACCTAAACTAAACACAAAGCGCATATTTCATCAACATTGTCGCGACTTAACTCGACATGTCAAAATAAAAGAAAACTTTTCTAAATCTAGATAATAAAATGAAATGGATCTTACTATTTCCAGGATATTTGTTATGTTTTACTACATGAAATATATTCATTCTTTTCACATATTTTCGAAGGAAAAGCGTTTGGTATATATGCACAACCTAGCTCGAGGACTGGGACTATCAACGTTAATGTTCTGATTGAAAATGTATACAGCAGTAGAAATAATATTCACAATATGATTATAGTATCTGTAAGAGACAAGAAGCTTTGTTTAACGTCGGATATTATATTCACAGAACATTTACTACACAGCGATGTTTCCGACAAACAGTTTAAACATTTACAAACAGAAATAAAAACAAGAAAATGAAATACTAGGAAGATAAAAAAATCCATAAAATATATACTAGAATTGATAAGTTCACAGCAGAGTCATCGGCATACTAGGCAAGGGCATATGGGACCATCGCAGTTCTGGACTAATTTGATTAAAGTCAGACGTTAGTTCTCGCTACCGCTAACGAGAAGTAAGATCTGATTTAATGAGATTGAACTCCGGACCAGTTTGCAGAATTCCCTATATGATTCAGCCTTACGGAATTCAGTGGCACTATTGGGTAATTCAGTCGTGAACTCCTGCCTTTGGGAGGAAGGGAATATTTTATTTTAATTAAAATTTGCAAACAACAATGTTCAGATTATGGTTTCTTAACAATTTTGAAGGCCCCAGGTGCCATGTCCATAAGTTAAGACGCTTTATATGTAAAAAGCCTGTACCGACATTTAGAAGAAGACACGAGAGGGGAGAACAGTTGTCATTATAAACAAAACGAATGTCTCCTTCCTTAATTTGTTTCTCTGTTATAGTGCTGGACTTGTTACAGAAGTGCCAAATAAGGGGATTATAAGTAAAATTAGAAATAATAAAAGGTTGACAGATGACCATTTCATTCTCTCTGGTGAGATATTAATAAACAAATAAAAAGTGAAATAAAATTTCTGCCTGCTGCCTGCTTGCCTCCCTGCCTTTTCTGCCTGCCTGTCTGTCTGTCTATCTGCTTGCCTGTCTGTCTGTCTGTCATGCTTGTCTATTCATGGACCAAGTCTATTTGGGACGCGGCTAGTTGCCGCCATTGAAGGTCAGCTTTTGGTCAATATCCAGCCCAAGAAGAGTAGCACTGTCACCGCAAGGGATATTTGTACTCCCAATACTGGCATTTTGAAGATATGTGTGGGTTCTACTCTCCCGGCATATTGCCTGACATTTGACTGGGTGGGCCTTCGTCTAAGCGTGGTTGCAAAGTCATGGCGGGATCTGTATGCGAGTACAATAGTACGCTATCATCCGCATAGTTGTACAGAGAATAGGCTCGTTATGAGTCAAGGTTTCAGAACGGCTTACAGGTCAAGGCGTTCTTTCGAGGCGCACGAGACACGGGTTTGAATAATACAATGCACTTGCAGGGTTCTAAACGTAAATTGTGTCTAAATGTCGAATGAGGTTAAAGCCCCTATCAACAACAAATACACTGGTCTACTTCACGGGAAGATTAGTTTGGTTTGTTGTTTTACGCCGCACTCAGCAATATTCCAGCTATATGACGGCGGTCTGTAAATAATCGAGTCTGGACCAGACAATCCTGTGATTGACATCATGAGCATCGATCCACGCAATTGGGATCGATGACATGTATCAACCAAGTCAGCGAGCCTGACCACCCGATCCCGTTAGTCGCCTTTTACGACAAGCATAGTCGCCTTTTACGGCAAGCATGGGTTGCTGAAGACCTATTCTACCCCGGATCTTCACGGGTCCTGTAGAACTACATGCCACACATTCGCAATAATAGTATTGTTGTATTTCTTCACATATTATATATTCTACTACTCAGTACTGATACAGTAAACTACGGTTATAACGAACTCAAAGGGACCACAAATTTTAGTTCCTTATAACCGTTGTTCGTTATAAGCATATATACATCATATACACAGCAAATGGCCGGTACAAAAAAAATCTGTTGGTTTATCCGTCAGTTCGTTTTAAGCGTGTTCGTTATAAACGTAGCTTACTGTACAGTGAAAATGCCCTCGATAGATTCCTAGCCTTTATCAATGCAGACTGATAAGGTTTCGCACAAACTACTTATGAGAACATGATACACTTTTCCGGAATTGTATTTCATATTAATATTTATTTAGAGATGAAATACGATATTTTTCTTAAAATATAAATCGATATTTTAAGTTTTCCTAGAACAGTTTTAGTCTTCTTGATTAACCTATGACATGTATATGTTCGGTGAGAAAATAAATAATATAACAATAAAAAAAGAAAGACAAACTAAAAAGTCACTCGGTGAAATAAAGATGTCATTTGACGAAAAAAGCGAAATTCCCTTTATATATTTCATTTATATATTTACAAGTTTCATTTGCTAAGTTGTGGTTTAGTATTCAGCAGAATATATTTATCAAAGCCGAAAATAGTTGTGGTATTTTGGTAATATATTTCCCTATCACCAGATGAAATAGCTTCCCAACAAGATGTTATCTCTCAAATAGCTTCGAGAGTTGAAACCAACCATGGAGTCAAGTATTTACAGGTACACACTTCTGTTAAACCTAAAATGGCAAGAGATAATGACAGATAGGGTCTGACATTTTTTGCGCCCCGTTAGAACATAAATGATTAGTGTGTGCCAATATTATATACATGGAGTTCCTTCTGCTAATTGTGTACTGAAATGTACCCTGTCATGTTCACCATACACAGTGAGATGGTGAGGTGAAATGGGGTTTAACGTCGCGTCCAAGATTATTATCCCCCGCCCAACAAAGTTGGCGGGGGATATAGAAACGGGCTCCGTCCGTCCGTCCTTACGTCCTTCCGCACGTCCGTCCGTCACGTTTCGTTTCCGGAGCATAACTCAGAAACCGTTCAATCTTTTTTCATCAAACTTTGCAGGTCTGTCAGGTACATGCTGAACTGGTGCCTTTTGCTATTTAGACATTTTAGAAATTTTATTTTTTTACGTTTCCATGGCAGCAAGATGGACTTAGGTTCCAAACTCTTCTTTTTTTTTACAATTTCCATGACAAGTTCCCCCTCGGTTAAAAAAGGTTCGGGTTTGTTTAGATTTAATTATGTCATAAATTCTGCAACAGGGGCGGGGGATATAGCCACGTTAGTGGCAAACTCTTGGCGGCCGGGGATCGATCCCCGGACCTTCCGCTATCCGGGCGGACGCTCTACCACTAGACCACGGAGGCGGTCCCATACACAGTGAAGACCAGGGCCACGCTTTAGGATTTTAAAATGTATTTTCCTTGCTATTGTACACTTTTCACAATCCCATATTTCTGAACAATATAACAGGATCAGGGCTACCATGGTACTTTTAGACAAAACATAGCTACATTTGCACTGAGGGACAAAGAGACATCCTGCCAGTCAAACGCTCCTCAGCTCTGTGGAGAGAAAGAGAAAAGAGTGAGAGAGATGAGAGAGAGAAGATAGAGAGAGAGGTGCAGTGGAAGTAGTATAGACATATGAACTGACAAACATATTGTTTATTGTAATGTCACCTCTAATAAAATACATACAACACGTAAATACATGTTTTACACAAAAAACACTCCATATGGAGTTACAAGAGGCTTAAAAAAGACAGTTGTAAAGTAATACCCAGACAATGGCAAACCTTCAATTGTCAAGCCCAACAACACCCATTACCCACTCTGCAATAAAGTAGCTCATGGAAATCAAACTTATTGAACTGGTATATTACACCGTGAAATTAATCAATTTCCCACAGAAAAAAATAATCATTTAGTCAGGTGGAGATGTGGAACATTATTTTATTTGTCGAACACATGTAAACATCCTTAACCGGTCAGCCGGGCCGTTTGTTCACTGTGTCAGTGCACGGGGCGAGATCGTTTGTGTTTGTACAGGAAAACAGCCGACAGACGAAGATGGAGGTCACGTGATGGGAGATCTACCCTGACGACACACCAACACCACTTGGGTCACTAAGCATATATCGGAAATCAATGAGAGCATGTTTCGCAATCGCCGAAGTTACGAAGAAGAAGTCAGGCATTGCAACCTATTGGAGATATCAATACCGAGACCAGCATGACATATGTGCTTTCCTTTTGGTGGCTATTCTTTGGTAACTTCATCTGTGTTATTTTATGTTATTGCTGCGCTGAGAGTGTGTTCATCTAACAATGGGTGATTGAGTATGAGTTTACGCCGCTTTTAGCAATATTCTAGTAATCTCACGGCGGAGAACACAAGAAATGGACTTAACACATTGTACACAAGTGGGGAATCGAACCCGGGTCTTCGGCGTGAACGCTTTAACCACTAGGCTACCCGAATGCCCCTCATCTAATAATGAATCGAACCATCTATCTATCTTACAAAAAAATACACCCAAACCAACCCACCCATCTATCTATCTGTCTGTCCGTCCGTCGGATCGATTTGTCATATATCCATTTGCGTATACCCTTCTGCATATGGAACTGTCATTCGGTGAGTGAGTGAGTGAGTGTGGGTGAGTGAGTGGATCAGTGTTAGTTTCCTGTATATGGGACGCAATTCACGGTCTTAGGAATAGCGATCGATTGAAAGTTAACGCTTGGAAGCCAGCTTCCCATCATTTTCAGATTACCACTCAGTGGCACGTTTTATTTCTTTTTCAATGTTTTGGCATGAATAAAAAATATTGTTGCATTTAAAATGTGAAACCTGAAATGTTCCGGCTGAACTCAACTTCCATTTCATGGTCGGTGGGAAGCACTTAATCGTTATCATACGTACCTTACTGATAAAATATTCATGCGTTCT